GCATCTCCTCTGCCTGGGGGCATCTATACAGAGCTGCAACAGCAGCTGTTGCAGCAGCAGCAGCAGCAACAGCAGCAGCAGCAGCAACAGCAATAACAACAGCAGCAGCAGCAGCAGCAATTCTTCTTCTTCTCTAGGCATTTCGCTGCCTCTATAATTTCCTTCTCCGGTGTCTATAGCAGCCCACGATGAGCAGCAGCAGCAGCAGCAGCAGCAGCAGCAGCAGCAGCAGCAGTACTGGGGTTGTGAGTGGGGGCCCTAGCTATCTCCCTTTGGCTCTCGTAGACAAATGTGTGGGGTCTCGTGTCTGGGTTATAATGAAAGGAGACAAAGAACTCGTTGGCACACTCAGGGGCTTCGATGACTACGTCAACATGGTCAGCTCCCTAGACACCCCAAACCACAAGGAGCTGCCTATACACCCGAAAGCACAGGGAGATGCCTATACACCCCAGACAGCAGGGAGCTCCCTATACACCCCAAACCGAGCTCCCTATACACCCCAGACAGCAGGGAGCTGCCTATACACCCCAGATAGCAGGGAGCTGCCTGTACACCCCAAACTGCAGGGAGCTCCCTATACACCCCAGACGGCAGGGAGATGCCTATACACCCCAAACAGCAGGGAGATGCCTATACACCCCAGATAGCAGGGAGCTCCCTATACACCCCAGACAGCACTGAGCTGCCTATACACCCCAGACAGCAGGGAGCTGCCTATACACCCCAAACCGAGCTCCCTAGACACCCCAAACCACAAGGAGCTGCCTATACACCCCAAAAAGCTGCAGGGAGCTGCCTATACACCCCAAAGCACAGGGAGCTCCCTATACACCCCAGACAGCAGGGAGATGCCTATACACCCCAGACAGCACTGAGCTGCCTATACACCCCAGACAGCAGGGAGCTTCCTATACACCCCAGACAGCACTGAGTTGCCTATACACCGCAGACAGCATTCAGCTGCCTATACACCCCAAATCACAGGGAGCTGCCTATACACCCCAAATAGCAATGAGCTGCCTATACACCCCAAATAACACTGAGCTGCCTATACACCCGAAACCACCAACAAAACAACAAAGCAAACAACTCCTAAACTCTACTGCATACACCTGCACATATATAGAAACCCTTACAGCAATATCTAGGGGCCCCCACAGCTGCATACACCTCGCTCTCGGGGCCCCTTCAACTCTCCTATGGGGGCCCCTACACCCCTTGCTGAGGGTATAGCTAGCTAGCTAGCTAGCTACCTATACATACATACATACATACATACATATATATATATATAT